TGCATTCTTGGTAAAAGGTCATTTAGCAGATCTCCATGGTAATGTTTACTGTTAACTTCAGAATGACAAGTGGATGCTAGGCATGTTGCCACATTTAGAATAATTTTTCCATAAAATGCTGTATGTGATTAGAAAACAAGAAATCCTAGTCAAGAATGCTAGGGAGCTTTGTCACCTCTAGAGGCCTGAAAGCTCCATGTCAGATAGGGACTGGCAATATCCATTTTCAATGTTTGCCTTTCTTTCGTTGAGAGAACCCTGGGACATCCACATGGAATATCAGGGGGGAAGCTTTCCACACTTTGCTTTTTTTAATACGGGAAACAGTTAAGCGCCCACATAAACTATGGGCTGTGTTCTGAGAGAAGAGTATAGCCGTTGCAGCAGTGTCAGTCATGCTGATGGCCAGAGGGGAAGAGATACACAGCTATGGTCCTCAGACCTGGGAGGGAAAACAAGTGGGGACAGGCCCGGCTTTGCCCCTATCAGAGCTGAAAGCTGATGAAGTTCAGCAGTAACCTCCAGTTTTCCCTGGGAGGTAAGATGTTGGGAGAAAGGGTAGTATCGTTGTCTTACCTGCTTCAAAGGTAAACAACTAGAGACCTTCAGTGAGTTCTTACAGGTCTCCCCACTTTCTGTCTGTGATTGAAGTTTCATTCAGAAGGAGAGAAAAGTTGACACCAGGACACTAACATGAAAGTAAATGTAACTTTCAGAAATGCAGATGTCTTAACATTCAGTTAAATGAGCCAAACGGCCATTTCAACTTGGAGCATTGAGAAATACCATCCTTCATGACTCTGGGGTCTTTTTTTTTTTTCATTTTCCCAAAATTTTGAGTTATAATAGTAACTCATTTATTTGTGCTTTTCTGATTTCTTTTTTTTCTGACATTTTTTTTTCCAGTTTACATTTAGATAAGAAACAAGGTTGCTTCACAAGTCAGTTCCAGGTCCCTCTCCCATTCCCTCCCCTCTTCCCGTGCCCTCCCCCCAACCCCCCCCGTTATCCCCTCATTCCCCCAGGGAGGGTGAGGCCCTCCATGGGGGTGTCCATAGTCTGTCATTTCATATAGGGCAGGGCCTAGACCCTTCCCCAAGAGTTCAGGGTGAGAGTGCACCTCACATTGTTCTATGGGAGTCCAAAGTCTGTGTGTATACTTGGGATGGGTACTGATCTGCTGCCCAAGGCTCAATAGATTCCCTAGGCCTCCTCATTGACACCCAGATTCAGGGGGTCTTGATCAGTCCCATGCTGGATTCCCAGGCTGATGCCTGGGATTCAAGAGTTAACCTTTGTCTGGTCAGCTGTTTCTGGTGGTTAAACCAGCCCAGTCTTAATCCCTTTGATCATCAGTCCTCCCTCTCTGTTACTGGCTTTCTTGAGTTCAGCTCAGTACTTAACCAAGGGAGTCTGCCTCTTCTTCGATCAGCCACTAAATGAAGTTTCTGTTTCCCAGACTCTTTGGCCATAGGATTGTAGGCTGGCACACCCCAGATCTATGTCTAAAATCCATATATGAGAGAGTACATGCCATGTTTCTCTTTTTGTGACTGGGTTACCTCACTCAGGATGGTTTCTTCTAGTGTCATCCATTTGCCTGCAAATCTCATGATTCCATTATTTTTTTCTGCTGAATAGTACTCCATTGTGTAGATGTACATTTTCTCTATCCACTCTTCGGGTGAGGGACATCTAGGTTGCTTCCAAGTTCTGGCTATTACAAATAAAGCTGCTATGAACATAGTGGAACAGACATCTTTGTTGTATGAATGGGCGTCTTTTGGATATATGCCTAAGAGTGGAGTTGCTGGGTCTTGTAGTAGGTTTATTCCCATTTTTCTGAGGAATCTCCACACTGATTTCCAAAGTGGCTGAACCAGTTGGCACTCCCACCAGCAATGGAGGAGTGTCCCCCTTTCACCACATCCTCTCCAGCATAAATTGTCATTGGTGTTTTTGATTTTAGCCATTCTGACAGGAGTGAGATGGTATCTCAGAGTTGTTTTGATTTGCATTTCCCGGATGGCTAAGGATGTTGAGCACTTTCTCAAGTGCCTCTCAGCCATTTTAGACTCCTCTATTGAAAACTCTCTATTTAGTTCTGCAGCCCACTTTTTAATAGGGTCCTTTGGTGTTTTGGAGATTTGCTTCTTGAGTTCTCTGTAAATTTTGGAGATCAGCCCTCTGTCAGATGTGGGATTAGTGAATATTTTTTCCCATTCTGTGGGCTGCCTTTTTGCCTTGCTGACTGTGTCCTTTGCCTTACAGAAGCTTCTCAGTTTCAGTAGGTCCCATTTATTAATTGTTGATCTCACTGTCTGTGCTACTGGTGTTATGTTCAGGAAGCTGTCTCCTGTACCAATTCGTTCAAGGGTACCACCCACTTTCTCTTCTAGGAGGTTCAGTGTGGCTGGATTTATGTTGAGGTCTTTGATCCATTTGGACTTAAGTTTTGTGCATGGCGATAAACATGGATCGATCTGCATTCTTCTACATGCCAGTCTCCAGTTATGCCAGCACCATTTGTTGAAGATGCTTTCTTTATTCCATTGTATATTTTTAGCTTCTTTGTCAAAGATCAGATGTTCGTACGTGTGTGGGTTAATACTCAGGTTTTCAATTCGATTCCATTGGTCTACCTGTCTATTTTTGTGCCAATACCAAGCTGTTTTCAGGACTATAGCTCTGTAATAGAGCTTGAGGTCAGGGATGGTGATGCCTCCGGACGTTGCCTTGTTGAACAGGGTTGTTTTGGCTATCCTGGGTCTTTTGTTTTTCCATACAAAATTGATTATTGTTCTTTCAAGGTCTGTGAAGAATTGTGCTGGGATTTTAATGGGGATTGCATTGAATCTGTAGATTGCTTTTGGCAGGATTGCCATTTTTACTACATTGATCCTACCTATCCAAGAGCATGGGAGATCTTTCCATTTTCTGAGGGCTTCTTTAATTCTCAGACATCCTTTTCTGGTGGCCTGCTTTCCCCTGGTACTCCAGAGGATAACAACTTGTGCAGAGTGAGAAATCTTAATTTCGTGCCTATTGACCTTTTCATAACAAAATAACCCATTCTCTATGATATCCTTTTACTTTGCCTGGTAAATTTCTCTTATGACTTAGTTCAGGTATTATCTCTGATCGTATTTCCAGCCCTTGAAAGCCGCTCTACATTTTAGGTAGGAAGTCAGCCCTTTCCTCTGCTATGGATATTGTCATGTTCATCTATTTCCCATCCTCACCTTTCAACTGCCACAAACCAGAGTCTTGATTCATGCATCTGTATTATGACCGATGCTGCCTGTGCCTGGGATGCACCTGAAGAGCTCTCAGTCTGCATGTCGCAGGATAGGGTACCCACCAGAAAACTCATTCCCCCCACCTGTTCAGAAGATCTCGCCTCATTCCTCTTCTCTGGGGTACCATGCATATCTCTCTTAGGTTCTTTCCTGTTTCCCAGACTCTCTGTCAGTGGGAGGGGGGAGTGGGATCTGGGAAGAAGAGAGGGGAGAAGAGGAAGAGAGAGTAGGTCATGGGGGAACAGGAAGGTTGAGTGGGGAGTAGAACGGGGAGAACAGGATGAGAAATGCCATAATAGAGGGAGCCATAGGTTAGAAGAGAGATCTGGCACCAGTGAGACCTCTAGTGATCTACAAGGATGACACCAACTGGGAAGCTAAGCAATAGTGGAGAGACTACCTTAAATGCCCATTCCTGATAATGAACTTGATATCTACCCTATCATCCAGTGACTGATGGAAGCAGAGGCAAACACCCACAGTTAAACACTGAAGTGAACCCATGGAACCCAGTGACAGAGAGAGAGGAGCGATGAGCAAATTGGCAAAGAATGGGCTGGCAAAACCAGCAGAGACAGCTGATCTGAAAAAGGGGGGAGCATGGGTCTTGGACCCTAGACCAACAGCTTGGAGGCCAGCATGGGACTGATCCAGACCCCCTGAGTGTGAGAGTCAGTGAGGAGGCCTGGGCAACCTATGGGGCCCTGAGCAGTAGATCAGTGTTTATCCCTGGCATACAAACGGACTTCGTGTGTCCATAACACAAAGAGGGATGCTCTCTCAGCCTGGACTCTTAGGGGAGTGCCTGGACCCTGCCCTGAGTGAACTGACAGACTCTGGATATCCCCTGTGTGGAAGGAAGTGGGGATAGGGTGGGAGGCTGGGGGGGATGATGGGGGGAGCACGGGAGGAGGGGAGGGAGAGGGAACTGGGATTGACATGTGAAGCAAGCTATTTAAAATTAAAGTAATAAAAAAGTTAAAAAAAAAAAAGAAAACTCATTCCACACCCATGCTGTAAGCTAAAGTTGGGAGACTCTGCCTACTTCAGTCTTCTCTGCTGCTCAATAATACAGTTAACTGAATAGTGAGTCATCGAATGCCTCTCTGTGGTCTGACCATAGATGTGATTAGTTCAGATTAGCATTTCTTCCTTCACTCATTTATGTTCAGCTAAGACTCGTGCACAGTTAGAACTCAATATGCTAATGTTAAGTGTACAAATCTCCACCAAGATGTTAGCAGTGGCTGGATTTGGGGTATTTGTATTTTTGTTAAAGATTTACTTCAAAAATTCCCTTTCAAGTGTGCATATATATGGAAGAAGACATTTCCAGTTCTTAATATAGATGGAGCATGAAAGAGAAACCCTTACAAAAGCAAATGTTTAATTATAACTTAAAACTAATCCAAGCTGGATCCAGATAGACTAGTCTATTACAAATATTGGTGATTTGCGAAAGCAGGTCTACCAGGCTTGTTCTATGGCCTTCTTACTACATAGTAACTTAAAAAGCTGCTCTGAACGGCATGGAGAGATGAAAATGACAGCCCAGCTGTCATCTGGACCTTGTCATATCACTTGGCTTGGCCAAATCTAATCAAATAATGTGAGCTGTGAAGGTAGCATCTGGAGTTGGTGTGTAACAAGCTCCGTCTGACCAGGTCAACATGACTCTACTTCTGTTCTTTCCTGTTTCAGTTACTGTAATGAGTGCATGCTGGATCCAAACTGTGGTTTCTGCTACAAGATGAACAGATCAACTGTCATCGATTCCTCCTGTGTTCCGGTTAATAAAGCATATATAAATGAGGCGGCCTGGGGCAGGTATGTCACACACTGTTTACTATAAATATCGTTCAGTTTCAAAATGAGGTTATTTTATTGGTTTACACCCATTGTACAAGACAAGGAATTTGTTGTGATATTTCCATGAATATATACAATACAGTTTGGTTGTATTAACTCTTACTTCATTCTCCTACCCGCCTTTCCCCTCCTCTGGTCACACCTCCTTTCCCTAATAGTCTTTTCCAGTTTCATAGCTTCTTTTTGAAGATAAAAATAAACATTTCAGGCCTGCAACATTTCTCAGCACAGGAAGGTGCTTGCTACTAAGCCTCCCATCCTGCCCAAGCCAATCCCCAGGACTCACGTGATAGAAGAAACTAACCATGTGAGAGATCCTGTGACCCCTATACAGAGGCAGGCACGCATATACAAACACACAATAGCTTCTTTAGAGATTAAAATCCACAATCAGTATATGGAGGAAGACATTGCCAGTGAGACAGCTTCCATGAGAGAAGGTGTTATCACCGGTGAGACTGGGTGTCTGCTGTGCAGCAGTGATGTTCCATGTGCTCCCCAGGAAAGGCTGTACAGCATGCACTACTGATCCAGAAAAATGCATGTTTCAAAATGCACAAGGAAGCACTCAGGCTCCCATGCTCGGCGAATACTCCCCTATTACACATCTACCCTCAGCCCAGCCTCCAGGCTCTTGAGTTGAAGCAGCTGTTTTCGACTATCCACAAAGCAGTTTCTCCCACTCCATACTGTAATTTCCAAACTGTCATCTTCTAACCCCAAATAAAACTGTTGTAAAGTCAAAATGAATCAACATCCCTTTAAATCATTTCATGGAGCTATTTTTCCCTGGAGTTTTTGTGGCTCGGGGAAACTAACCAAAATCAGAATAAAAGTTGCTAAGCATCAGTGTGTGCCTGCCTCTGCTTCCCAAGTGCTAGGATTACAGGCACATACTAGCCATGTCCATGTTACCTTTTAACGATTAACTTTGAGATAATTTACATTTAACAAAATATATACTTTACTTTTTTATTTTATGTTAATGGATGTTTTGCTTGCATACTGTCTGAAAGCTATCAGCATTCCTGTTTGGGACAGACCACTTTGGTTTATTATGAACACATAAATAATGCTTATATACAATGAGTATACCTCACATTTAAGAGCATATCCATGAACTCAAAATATGAAAATGTATTTAATATAACTTTAACCTCTTTTTCCATTTTAAATCTCCCCTAAAAATACCTCCCCCCCGCCTACTCATTACCCGAGCTTTGACAAGGATAAACCCTGTAATGCCACAGCTTGCGTATCCTAACAAGGTACACAACATACTAGAGGTACCGTCTGACATACTAGCATCAACTTTTATGCTCCTTGCATCACTTATCTTACTAGGTAATTGCTCGAAAAAGTAGAGGTAAATTTTGTGTTAATTGTGTAAAACTCGAGACTACATATGAAATACACTAATTACAAGGAAATATATGAGAAATGCAATCACTATTTAAACAAATACTTTAAGAGAAGTCCTCCCAAACACAGCAGTTTGGTTAACTTTTTTGCTGCAGGACATGATGCCTTGACACCAGCCTGCATTTGCTCCTAGTCCCTTGCTGTGACAATGCATCATGACCAATGGCAACTCAAAGGAAGAAATAGTTTATTTCAGTTTATGGCTCAGGGAGGATATGAGTCAATTATGGTGAGGGAGATATGGCAGCAGGAAACTGAGAAGCCCCCTTTTTAATCACAGAGAAATCAGAGAGTGGGAAAAGTTGTAACTCGCCAGCCCACCCCTTTCTCCAGCAAGGAGCCACCTCTTAAAGTTCCATAATGCCCCAAACTAACTGGAAACTAAGCACTGAGGTACCTGTGCCTCTGGGGGCCATTGCTCATTCAAGGCACCATACCAGTCTACTATTTTAATGGGCCCAGTTAGTTGGTTTCATATTCTCAAAATCTTCACTTAGAGTTTCAACTCTGAGGATTTGTGCTCACCATTGGAGAAAAAAAAAAGACTGAAAATTAGTTGCATGAAATTATAAACACGTTACAAAAACCATATAACTAACATGTGTGAGGACTGGGGTCGTGGCTCGGCTGATAAAATACTTGCTGCATTAGTGTGATAACTGGAATTCAGAGCCCCATAGCTAAAAGCTGGGTGTGCAGGAAGGCGAACCTAGAACCCCAATGAATGCAAGTCCTAAGGGATCCCTAGAGCAAGCTGCCTTAACAGACTATTGAAATGGCCTCCAGGTTCAACACTAGACCTTGCCACAGTGTATATGTGGAAACTGACCTAGAAATACACCAAATATCAACCTTAAATCTCCATATGAATGTATACTTGTACAACCTTGCACACATGTGTCCACACACACAAGCACACATACATGCACAGAAACCACCATACATACATATGGAAAAATAATTTAGAAAAATAACTACTGAATTGTCCCATGTTTTAGAGAACTAACTTGTAAGCTGGAGAGATGGTTTAGCTTAAAAGAAATACAGGATATGTTTTTATACTATCATCAAAGTTGGACACTTAATTAAGACATATGTCACATATGTGAATGTCTATATGTTGCATGTATGCCATAACCCAGCAAATTGTGCACAACACAAAAAAACTCAAGAAGCTAAAATTCTAGGTAACTAAATGTGTAAAGCATGATCTAAAGATATAATATGTTTGAAAGATATTAAATGGAGTAGCAATAAAATCAAGCTAAGAAAGACAGGAGAGGGAGATTTTTACAAAATTATGGTTTTGAGAAATCACAGAAAACTGAGGAAAATTAAACATATATCTAAATTTAGTCACGATAAATCAATTAGATACACTGATTAAAGACAAATGTATTTGGACTAATTATTTAAAGATATTTGCACTATTTAAAAACAACAACCACAGAAATGTTGGAACTTGAGTGGGAAAAAATTAAGTTCCCAAAGTCAAGAAGACAAAACTAGCAGAAATTAGACAATTTGGGAGTCTTACAAGTTTAAGGTAAGAATTAAATAGTGAGCCTTATAATTCCATTCATTTCAAGCCAACATGGAATACATGCAAAAATATGTTTAATAAAAAAGAATAAATTTATCAAGTATATTAATATATACATTCAAATAAACTCTAAGGAAATCCAGAGACTATCAGCAGACATGTTTTCTGACCAAAGTACAACAAAATTCACAAAATCATCACAGATATAGTTATCACCTTTTCTAAGTTAGTTGAGAAACTGGGAACAAAATGTTCAAATTAAGAACAGATCATATATCAGTACTCATCCTGAGTCTACACATGGACTTTGGACTCCCGTCCAACAATGTGAGATGCACTCTCACCCTGAACTCTTGGGGGAGGGTGTAGGCCCTGCCCTGGATGAAATGACAGACTATGGACACCACCATGGAGGGCCTCACCCTCCCTGAGGAAATGAGGGGATAATGGGGAGGAGGGGAGGGAAAGGGAGAGGGGCCTGGAACTGACTTGTGAAGCAACCTTGTTTCTAATCTAAATTTAAACTGAAAAAAAAAAGAACAGATCATATGACCTGGAGAGATGGCCCAGAAGTTAAGAGCACTTGCTGCTCTTGCGAGGGATCAAAGCTCGAGTCCAATCCTGGCAGCTCACAGACGCCTGTAAACTCCAGCTCCAGGGATTGATAACCTCTTCTGGCCTCTGTGAGCACCTGCACACATGTGATACACACAAGCATGCTAATAAAAATGTACAAATCTTTAAAAAAAACAATTGATGGAAAACAAGATGTCAAAGTGTACAACTAACCTGCCTTGCAAAGGGGACAGAGTAGGCCTGCAGGTGGGGAGGAAAAGACGGAAACTCATAGACAGAAGCAAGAAGAGCAATGTAAAACACAGGAAGGTGCAGAAGCTGTCCATCTGTAGAGAGGGCTGTACATGGGGAGAAAACTCTAGGAGTGTAGTCCTGGCTAGGATGAGGGAAAAGATGTAAGTAATATTTGCAATGAAAAGACATGCAACAGAAAACAGGCATTTTTGACACTCAAAGCAGTTTAGTGAATAGTGCATTTGAAGGTCCATTTAAAGTTTCTAGAAAACGCAGAAGTTTCTAGAATCAACTCAGAATATCTGTTAAGTATGATTTCTTTTTGGCAGGTGAGATTTCCAAATCAAAAGGTAAGTCTACCTCTTTTGAAACAGCTGCAACTAAGCAGTGGAAATATACACAGTTAAGAGTGTGATAGATGTCTTTAAATGGCACTAGGACATCTGGTGTCCTCAGAGTCCTGCCTCTATCAGTAGACTGGTAGTAGCAGCTGAATTGAGAAATGTGGTTATTTAAAAGGTATCTAAGCTATGTATGGGGCATATTTAAATACAGTTATAACAATGGAGAAATGTCCTGTATAGGTGTGGGGGGAAGAAGGAGAGAGGAGGGTAGGAGGGAGAAAGGGAAAGAGAGGGGGTGTACGTCAGGAACACTGCATAGACCGAAAAAGCATCATTATCTAAACTGGTAAATGCACTAGAATAGTTCTCATTTATGTCTGTGTGTCTCTTCCTCCTCCTCCATACCTCCCAGTTCTCTATCTACACAAAACCATAAATAATCCATTCTGGAATTTCAATGCTAACTAAAAATACCATTAATGAGGGATGCTTTCTTAGCGTGGTGGTTCAGTATTTGTTTCCTATGACACAGCACTTTAGCTCTGTAATTAGAGACACTAAAATAGCTGGATATAGCCCCTCTTTGGCAGTTTATTGTTCACAGCTTCATTCAGCTGAAATTCTTTTCTCCCAGCCAAGCTTTGATACAGTGTGCAGCCTGTTGGCTCTGCATTCCACCACTTGCCTGAGCAAACTGTGCTCAGCCTACGCCTCTCACCAGCACACTGGTGTCCTTAATGACTTCTCCTTCCCCTACTTCTGCACAGGGTTGACAACTTCTTCTTCCTCCTCTGCCTACATTTTAATATTCATTTTTGTCCAAATAAGATGTCAGTCAG